TTCAAGAGAAGCTTAGTTGAGGTCATTTGCACGGAATTACACAGTTTGCGTCAAAATCGCACAATTCTGCCGCAATTTGTAGCAAACTGATATTTCGTGTTATTTTAGGTCATTTTTAGTGATTTTCACGTTTTTTGTATTATTTTTGGGCTGAACATTCGCTTATTTGAAGCCCAATTCGTGGTTATTAGGTTTAGGACTTTGGGTGTTAATTTCCTATTCTGATTAAGATTGGTTTTCTCTATTTAAAAGGCTTGTAACCCTAATGGGGAGGAGGCTATTGAATCTGAGATTTTGAGAGACTTTTCTCTTTGGTTGTTTCAGAACTTTACAGAACTTATCAAGATTATTCTTGTGGCGTTCTAACCTGACTTATCATTCTCATTCTTAATCGTTCGAGGGTGTGGCGTCAACCAGCTTTATACCTCTGGTTCTTGTTGTGTCATAGACAACGGGTCAAGGTTTTTACCTGATTTAGCTTTCCTGGAGTTCAGAAATCCCTTGTCGTGCTGTGGGTCTCATTGTTCTCTTTGGGGTTCTCATCAGATGTCCTGTTGATATCTGCTCTTGAATCCTTGTTCTCATTTTCATTATTGAAATCTTCTTATGGGCCTAGTTTTTGAATCCTATTGTTATTCTCATGGTTAACTTTGTTCTGTGGTGGAATTTATAAGTGTATATTCAGGCATTCATACATGAATGCAAACAGAGATACACATAAGCATATACATGCGTATCAGCATGCACACATAGGCATTCATATATGCATGCACATATAGACAGTCATTCACACATGCACATACATGCATATGGGCTTTCATTTGAATGGGCATGCATTCTTTCATGATGGGAATCAAGATGACCCCACAGGTACCATGTCAAGAGATCCATTACATATTTCAGGAGGTCCAGTCACAAGAGCTAGAGCTAAGAAGATGAGAGAAGCTGTAAATGGCCTTATTGAGCAGATCTGGGTTGATAACAACATACAACCAGCAAATCGAAGCTTGGATGATTATCAAGGCATGGTAAACATCATTCAGGTTCAAGAGAAGTTTGGTTGTGGTCATTTGCACAAAATTACACAGCTTGCGTCAAAATCGCACAATTCTGCCGCAATTTGTAGCAAACTGATATTTTGTGTTATTTTAGATTATTTTAGTGATTTCACGTTTTTTATACTATTTTTGGGCTGAACATTCACTTATTTGAAGCCCAATTCGTTGTTATTAGGTTTAGGACTTAGGGTGTTAGTTTCCTATTCTTATTAGGATTTGTTTTCTCTATTTAAAAGGCTTGTAACCCTAATGGGGAGGGAGGCTATTGAATCTGAGATTTTGAGAGACTTTCCTCTTTGGTTCGTTTCAGAACTTTACAGAACTTATCAAGATTATTCTTGTGGCGTTCTAACCTGACTTATCATTCTCGTTCTTAATCCTTTGAGGGTGTGGCGTCAACCAACTTTCTTGTTGTGACATAAACAACGGGTCAAGGTCCTATTATAAACCTGGTTTGCTTTCCTGGAGTTTTAGAAATCCCTTGTCATGCTGTGGGTCTCATTGTTCTTTTTGGGGTTCCCATCATCTTGGTATCAGAGCTTCAGATCTCTAAATCAGGTTTGCGTATCTTTAGTTTTCAGTTTTTACATCAAAAAAAAAAAAAAAA